GGAAAAGACGTCTGGGATAGAATTTCCTCTGATTGAAGAATGGTCTTGGAGGTGGTCGCATCATTCTCTGTCCTTGCTTCCCTCTATTCTGATTGATCGGAGGTTTCTTTTGCGATGTCGTCCTCATCTGGCTCATTTGTTGTTCAAGTCTAGCGATCTTTTCATCCGTAAGAAGAGCGTTTACTGCCTGGAGAGCGTCTCTATCTTCCTTCCTTTCCTGTTCCAGAATACGATGTTCCTTTTCTGCCTTGCATACTATGTCTTCAAATTCATCGGTCTCAGGGAGTCTTCTAATCGCTTTTCTAATCTCAGGATTGAGTCCTTTTATGAAAAAATCGATGGCCATTCTCTTGACTAGAGGTTCTCCTTGCCCTCGAAAAGCGATTTTTGTTTTGCTGTAAACCTTCTTCGCAAATTCTCCTACGGTATCTTTTCCTTGGGTCATGCTATGCAACTCATCTCGGATATTGCCAAGAAGTGACGCATTCTTCATTCGCTTTGCCAGTTCCGTTACCAGTTCCTTCCAGGGCATTGTATCGTGATCCGGAATCTGTTGGTATTTGAGTTTCGCTCCTCCCGTCAGGTATATTGGCAGCAACCTTTGTGCGATCGAATGGGGAATGGCGAAATGATGTATCAGTTCTTTGTACTCATCCAGAAATTCCTCAAACGTCTTCTCCTCCGAGCCAGAAAACTTGTCCAATCTGTTACCCAACATCTTAAATGCTTTATATAATTGTTCCTGAAGTTCTTCATTAGTCAAAGTTGGTGTCAACTGCTAAGGGCGATTAGAACCTGGCTGGCTCGCTCGAGTAGGCGCAGATTGATTTGAACTTTCCTCGTCCGACATGGTAGCTTTCCGACGATTAGCGGCAATTATCTTCTCTCTCTGCTGTGCCCTGCGCTGACGTCGCAGTAATCGTTCCGTGACGGTTGATGTCGCGTCCGTCCTAAAATTTTTTATTTTAGAAATGACTACAAAGATACAAAACAAATAAATGAGACCAACACCACAGTATAAAAGGACTAAATGAACTCAAAGCATAATAATACTACTAATTACTAAGCAGGGAGATTAACTTCATGGATAAAAGCGAGTATTAGATGCAGAAAAAGAGAAGAAAATTTTTGTATTTTATTTTTTATTCTTTTTTTTGTTTATTAGTTTTTTGCTTTTTTTTGCTTTTAATTTTTCCCCTTTTTTGTGTTTTTTTCCATTTCCCACAACTTCAACACACCGCAAAAGCTGAGAAAAATATTCTTCTCAAAAATTTGACTGTCCCAGAGGTCGTGGGGTCCCAGTCATCTGCATCATCCCTTTTGCGATCAAACCCAATATATTGAGGACGAGGGAGGGGTTGGCGTGTTGGAAAGAGAATTATTTTAGGAAATTGTCCAAAAATCAACCAGATCAGTTCAATATGAAGCACCAGTGGACAAGAGGAGGGAGAGAAATCCAACAGGCGCGTATGAGGAGACTTGAGATGATAGCCATGTCTATGAAAAAGATGTCTGTTCAAATTATGAGACTGGCCGGTTCTGGGGCAAGTATTGCAAGGAAAGCGATAATCCTTAGCGTTCCTCTGATGGACCTGATAATGGACGTGATTAGGGATGAACTGCCCGCAGCTTCCATTGTACGCTGCCAGTGCTAGAGGAAGGAGGCGATTGCATTGGCGGTAAATGTCCTCCGTCCGGATGTGAATCAGAGGACATTGGCATGCGTCCTCGAGCAACGTAGACAGGCGGTAGGTAAACACGTATGGTCTGATTGCACGCATTTCCAATGGAGGTAACGCCATGGTACGTTCCTGGTCCTTTTTCCACTCCTCGGATGGTGTATCGGGGATCACAGGAGTTTCATCGCGCACACTCCTAAAGATATTAAGGAGCGTCGAGACACGATCCTCAGTGATGGGCAACATTTCCTAAAATTTCTAATTCTAAAATTAAAATATTACAAGCTAACGCTAATTTTGTTCAGTGCCGGAACCTCCATGTAAGGTTTTGGCCTAGTTCTCGTAGTCATCGTAGCGGAAAGAATTCATCAAAACTGTTCTTTTAACTATTATAATTCAAAATTATCTCAATTGACCAACCTTAACAACTCTTTCCCAACAACAATTTATTAGGCCAACAAAAGGAAGTCCCTCGAGCCCTAAATCAGCATTCAGCTATGACAAGAGAAATTCTATATGAAATGCAAAAGTTAACTTCAATGAACAGGATCTAGATAAAATGCATAGCCACAATAGGATGAGAAGAGAACATGAGAGAACGAGAATTCATAAACGGACGCTTTATAAAAGAGAGAAAGGCTAAAACATAGTCATGACGAATCGATCCTTACAATAACCTTGGGAGTATATATACTATATCCCACAGTGGGAGTACCAACAATCTTATATATAAAGCTGAATGTCTGTTTGTATGTCTGTATGTCTGTCTGTATGTCTGTCTGTATGTCTGTATGTACGTATGTTCCGAATAGAAAATTCCATTTCTGAACCGATCGGGACCAAACTTGGCACACATACACTTTGGGCCCCGGCGAGTGTCATAGGCTACTTTTCGTCATCGATCGATATCGATTTTATCGATTTTTATCGATTTTTTTGCTGAGTTCACCTACGGGGCTGGGAGTTGGCACAGGGGGGTAATCGAGCATGGGGATTCCGAATACAATATTGGTTTTCAGGATTATCGATTACTTTTATCGATTTTATCGATTTTTTTGCAAAGTTTGAGCTACGGGGGTGGGAGTTGGCACAGGGGGGTAATCGAGCATGGGGATTCCGAATACAATATTGGTTTTCAGGATTATCGATTACTTTTATCGATTTTATCGATTTTTTTGCAAAGTTTGAGCTACGGGGCTGAGAGTTCGCACAGGGGGGTAGTCGAGCATGGGGATTCCGAATACAATATTGGTTTTCGGGATTATCGGTTACTTTTATCGATTTTATCGATTTTTTTGCAAAGTTTGAGCTAGGGGGCTGGAAGTTGGCGCAGGGGGGTAATCGAGCATGCTGATCATCCCCAAGGGGGGTGATCAGCATGCTCGATTACACCCCTGTGCCAAATTCCAGCCCCCTAGCTCAAATTTTCAAAAAATCGATAAAATCGATAAAAGTAATGGACGATCTTGAAAACTAATATTGTATTCGTAATCTGCATGCTCGATTACTCCCCTGTGCAAACTCCCAGCCCCGCAGGTCAAACTTTACAAAAAAAATCGATAAAATCGATAAAAGTAATGGACGATCCTGAAAACTAATATTGTGTTCGTAATCAGCATGCTCGATTACCCCCCTGTGCAAACTCCCAGCCCCGCAGGTCAAAATTTACAAAAAAATCGATAAAATCAATAAAAGTAATCGATAATTCTGAAAACTAATATTGTGTTCGGAATCCCCATGCTCACTTCCCCCCTGTGCCAACTCCTAGCCCTGTAGGTGAACTCTGCAAAAAAGATCGATAAAAATCGGTATAATCGACATCGATCGATAACGAAAAGTGGACTGTGACACCCGCCGGGGCCCGAAGTGTATGTGTGCAAAGTTTGGTCCGGATCGGTTCAGAAATGGAATTTTCTATTTGGAACATACGTACACGGGTCTAGCTGGCAGGCCCGGCGGAGCCGGGCAAGCCAGCTAGTTATACTATATTATACAATTATACTATATTATTATATTATATTATACAACAATTATACAATTATACAATTATACAATTATACGTCGTTCGTACTAGTGAATCGCTACACATAACTCTAAAAAGTTACACAATCTCTCCGTTCAATCGTTGCAAAGTTTCTAGTTCGGACGTTCTTCCCGGAGTACGCTTGGAAGGTCATTACGATCATGCCATAGCCGGTTCTGTAATTGCAGCTCCGCATCGTACCATCGTAATTGTCGTTGTTCGTGTAATCCTTGTTTCTGGAACATATTCTACAATGTTTACAATTTGATACCAGTTACATTTTCTAAAGTTTTTGACCTTCGACAATTATGTTCAATTTTATGCCATATTTTACGTATCATAACGGGCTAAATGTTAACGCGTTTTTGTGTGTGCCTGTGTGTCTTTCTGTAATGAAATTCATAGAGCGAGTTTAAGCCAACCTCCTGAGCCCAAATTTCGCATAGCGCATGCCACTAGCATAAAAGTCCAACATGCAAAAGCGCGAGCGGATTTATTGGGTGGTTCCCCTAGAAATTGCGTCAGATGGATCCACTTGGCTTCCGGCCCGCGAAATTGGATTCGTACCAACACTTTTGCGAAGTCGTAGATGCGTTCGCATGGCAATGCGCAAGCCATGAACTTTTAGTCCAACTCAGGCAACGGATAGGACCCCTCCGCCGGAGAAATGGCAGGGTCGCGGCGTTTCCCCAGCGGTGGGTCTGCCACTCGTCCGCCGGAGCCCTCCCATTTCTGCTCCGGAGACCTCCCATTTCTGCTCCGGAGACCTCCCATTTTCTGCTCCGGATACCTCCCATTTTCTGCTCCGGAGACCTCCCATTTTCTGCTCCGAAGACCTCCCATTTTCTGCTCCGGAGCCCTGCCATTTTCTGCTCCGCAAATCTGCCGCGGCATACTGTAATTAGCCCTAATTAAGCTCCAAACCCCAATTATGTCTCTAAACCCCACCCAAATTAGCCGAATACGACCTTCCCCCCGGGTAAGAGTTCAGCGCGACCCTCAACCCCGTTCTTTACCCCCTCCCTCTCACCCCTAGCGCTTGTGGATAGAAGATAGAAGAATGAAGAAACAAGACATTTATTTCAAATTAACTACACCAGGACAAGCATGCTCTCCAGAAAATACGTTGAAAAGCTGAAGAAAAAAAGAAAAACCTCTAAGATCATAGAAGACGAAATACGTGAAAAAACCGAATTTTTATATAAAATATTTCTCTCAAAAAAAATCGCACGGGCATTAAGCATCAAATATGTGGTGCCTCCTTCCACGAAATTGAATACATACTCTGCGTATCCACTTTATGATACGAAATAGGGTATCGCATGCGCTTTTGATACTTCATCGACTCCTTGTACGCATATGTTTGCACCTGAAACAATCATTAAAAAATGCTTTTTTCTCACAGAAAGAGGGATAGGATGTGATCTAAGCCCACCAAAAAAACATACTAAGAGCGTAGAAAATCCTGGACCATCTATCTCGTTGGGTGGCTTCTATAGTATCCGCTTCAGGCCATGTCTCTTGCAGCTTGATAGCTTCCTAAATGATTTTGGGGAAAAGGCTAATAAGAAGTGAAAGCCTATAAATAAAAGTATACTACTGAGTACCATTACAGTCTCTAGAAGTGGTATGGCCTCGCCAAGTTTCCGTCCATCTGAACACTTCAGCCACAAGTTTGAGTTTTGGTTGAGATATCTTTCGCCTTCCAATTCACTAAAAACTTGTAATGATGAGAAACTCTACAGCAGTTCTTGTGAGTGCATTCAGGCGAAAAGGGAGACTCATTGTCTGTCAGTCACGATATCTTCTTTCAAATAAAATGCGTCTATCAAGGGAAGGATACTTGGTCGACGTAGAGCATGGAAAACGGACTCCAAATCTGCTCTGGGTACCTGCAAATGCTTCTGGGAAGGGGGTTATGAGAATTTTTCGAGACAAAAACTAAAATTCTGGCTAAGGTAAAAGCAAGTTTTGAGGTCTTTCCGGCACTTCTATGGAGCAGTGACTAGCATAAGTTTGCTAGACTCAAAGAATTAACTGCATGAAACGCTCTGGGAGTAAATATGGCTCCATTCGAGCTCAAGGACTACAGTTCTAAATGATTTTACTGTAGCTGCGCGTTAGAATTTTTGCTTCAAAAAATTACCATAACTTCCCTCCCAGAAATGCTTTGCAGATAATGAAAGCAGATGGAATCAGCGTTCCATGCTCTGTAAGATAGTCTACATTTCCTGCAGGATTGCTACTTCGACCTACTATCGTCCCCTTGTTAGAATCGCCTTCAAGTTTGCAAGCGCTTGTTAGAATCGCCTTCAAGTTTGCAAGCGAAGTCCAAGCCTGAGCAGCTTAATTGCGCAAAAAAGCGATTACTCCAGAACATATGGTACATGATTCAACAATGTGAATTCAATATTTTACTTAATTCAACTTGCACTCGCACTTGAGTTTAAAAAAAACAAGAAAAAACCGAAGAATTTGTTTAGTTTGTTCACGTCTAAAAAAGATGGAGCTAACCCCAATGACTCATAGCGATCAGTAAAAAAGTCTGAGCGAAATTCCTCTATGAACACCGTCAACCATCCATGCTGAAAAGTGCATATCATCACTCTATCGCAACTAGTTGCATTCACCTACCATAGCTATGCATTTCGAACATCCAAAACAAGTTCGCAACAGCTAGTTCGGCATAGCAAAAAGTTCGCACAAACTGATTCGAATTACGCGCTTCGTCTAAGAGTTCTAATGTACTTCGCACATCTTCCTCTCTTGTTGGGGAGCTAAATAAAGTCTGGAGGTTTTCAATGTGGCAAAGCACTTCAAATGAATCAAGCCTTGGCTTACTCACTCCTCCAGTTTTAGAGCAGTTTCCATCCTCAACAGTACAGCCAGTATACCAAAAATTGGTTGAACATTGTCAGCTGAGCGAAGTCACAATGGAATCATTGTGATTAGATTATCCTGAATAGGAAGATAGACAAATGACGCCATGCTGACATGCTATGCTGACCTTATGCGACATAGTCGATGGCCTAGCAGCATATAGGCGAAAAACTGCGCGAAAAAGTCTTTTGACATTGTCAACTGACATGCGTTCGAGAACGAAGAAATATTCCTGAACTTAGGTCAAACTGATGATGATCATGACATATGTTGCGCTTTCGTAAGCACATATTTCAAAGCAGATCTTTCTAGGTGTAGATGAAAAAAAAAAGATACATAGGCACATAGGCACTTGTGCAGCACCATCAGTAGATGACAGAAGGACTGGCTTAAAGTTGATATTGCAAAAAGACACTTACCGATATGAGCCTTATGAACGGTTCCACTGCTTCGGGACTTTCATCAATAAGGGTGGTGAGCTCAATGAGCACAGCTTCTGATTCCATGTCCGATTGTACTGCATGTGTCAACATTGCTCTCATGGTCATCTGCCTCGAGATTCGCGTTATTTCAAGTATGAGACAAATTCTTTAATTTCGAGATCAGACACACCTCTCTTCGTTTTGGTATAGCTACAAAAAGTTCTTTGAACAATTTTGCACCGAATTTACGTGCATCTGGCTTTGAAGACCATAGATATTGCTGTGAAACAGAGATAATGGAATTCATATTGCGCTCGCAGTACTGCGACAAATAATAATTTTTACATTTTGATCGACTTTGAATCGCTTGAAAACACTCACAATTTTGAATTTGAGGGCTTCACTAAAAAGCTGGTATAGAATATCCACGTTTTCTTGTGTCTGGGCGAAACGCTGTTTGATGGCGTTTGACACATTGAGCGGACATGTCCGCAGTGACAGTAGCGCGATTGAGAGCATCACTTCGAACACCCCAAACTCTGTATCGCTCAAAATTTGATAAACAATGTGAGAAAAGTCCTCTATCATTTACATGAGCCGAATCCGATGGCGGAGTGATAAAACTTTCTTGGGAGGCGCCATCTACAGCATCTTTTTCTATGGCTTCCACGGCTCTAAGAAAGCGGTGAATCTCCTTCCAACGTTTCGCCACCAAGTACAACAAACTGAGTGAGCTTTTCAAACACTTCACCTACTACATCATCCAAGGAATGTCGTCTGTAAATAAAATTTCACAAAAAGCTGAAAATGGGGTTTTCTCAAGTCGTTTGATTGGAAAAGGCTCAGGCAAAATTTTATGGATGGTAGGAATTTAGCACCATTTGATACAGGAAGGCTCAAAAGACAAAGCATAGACATGATTGGTCAGCCATAAAAAATTGAAATCAAGAGCTAAAAATATAGATTTGCAAAAAAAAACTCGAAAGTTTATGTCCATAAATTTACAGAACCCAGGCGTCTGCACATAATAGAAACCAGCATCTACTCGAACGTGAGCATATCTACGGAACTCCGCAAGAAGACGAGCAAAAAGGTTGCCTATAAGATGACAAACTCCGCCCCACTTCCCCTGTTATCAATCAAAAGTCTTGTTGCTATCTCATATAAGCGTTACCACCTATTCATTAGCATGGTAAGAAGGGTATTATAAACCGTTTTGCTCACATGCAAAAGCCTGCTACTTTAAAACAAGCCAATGTAATTCTGTGGGGATATGTGAAAAAAAATTATAGAATAGTCAACCTACATTTTCCCTCTACGAGTTGGTCGTAGTTTATCAACCTGTAGACTTGATGAAAGATGAGATAAGTTCAGCAAACGCGTTCTTTTTTGTGCTGTCCAAACGTTTGAGCAACAGGTCAATCAAAGGCGGAAGCAGCTCAACGTCGAAGTTCATCATTGACTGGATCACTTTCACTTGAAACTAAACACATTTGCAGGATAAAAAAAATCAAGTTTTGCAAAGATGGTTACTAGCCTTCTTCACTGCTTCCCATTCTGCGTTCATCAAGGACAAAGCAGAGATAATGGCTAGTTTGCATCCAACCGGGTCGGTTTTAACTTCACGTAGAAGCATTGAGCAACGCGGAAAAGAAAAAAAACGGTAAGAAACGCGGAGAAACAGCAAAATCAAAGAAACAACGACTAAAATATGAAAAAAGAGCGCAAACAGAGGAATCATCACCGTGGAGTTAGACGTTTGCTTGCTACGCGCCAAATCGATACGCAGCCTGCTCCGGAGCCCTCCCATCTGTGCTCCGGGGCCCTCCCATTTCTGCTCCGGAGACCTCCCATTTTTGCTCCGGGGCCCTCCCATTTTCTGCTCCGGATACCTCCCATTTTCTGCTCCGGATACCTCCCATTTTCTGCTCCGGAGACCTCCCATTTGTGCTCCGGACCCCTCCCATTTTCTGCGGCGCGGCTCTTCCAAATCTGGCGGACTCGCGCCGGGCAAATTTCTCTCCGGCGCGGCTCTGCCAAATCTGGCAGAGCCGCGCCGGAGAAATGGCGTACCTTTGCAGCAGGGCCGGAGAAGCGTCCCATTTGCCTGCCAGTGATGTCACCGCGACGGACCGCCCATTTGCCCCGCTCTCATTGGTCAACTGGGTCCGGCGCGACTCTGACAGATTCGGACTGTCCGGCGGAGGGGTCCGGTCGATTCTCTGAGAAAAAGGTGATCAAAAATCTACAACTTTACAAAGCCAAAAAAGAAGTAGTCGCGCAATCTATCAATTTACCAAGGTTTTACCTGAGCATTTGAGAAGATTTTTGCAAAGAGATGTAGCTCACGGTGACCATTGTCCTTCTAGAGACTACCAAGCCAAAAAAGTCCAAAAATGTCTAGATTTGCGCTCGTTCTTTTGCAAAAAGTTCCATGCACGCGAAATCGCCGACCTCATATGAGAACGCATTTCGATTACAGTTGTTGTTTAGTTGTTTACAGTCACAAGTAGTTGTTTATAATTGATTCGTGACAATCGGCATTGCGCGGTAAGTTTCAGTGTCATCATTAGACGATAATGAGTAAGGAATTCGGAGGAGGACCTGTGCGAGCCACTGCGAAGCAAAGGTGAGACGCGTTGGTTGAGTAAGAAGACCGAACAAACCATGGGTCTATTGCTCTGTGAAACTCATATTAGATGCTCTTTGATATCCTGCTGGCAGTAAAAATTGCGGTTTTTGAGGTGCTTTTTTATCACAGAAAAAAAAACAACTGAAACTGAAAGCAAAGTTCTTAGCAGACGTTTCCATTTCCTAGTATTTCCTAACGTCCAAAAAGCGTGATTATCAAACATGATTAACTTTGTCATAAAAGTAAAAGAAGTCGGCTTTTTTTTGTATTCGTAACAAAGTATTACTATTTATCAGTCTGTGGTAGAAATTGGATTTCACATCGCTTCAAAATAGTGGATTAAGAAGTGCTGCCAAAATGTTAGTCACCGCAGTTTTCACCTCGAGTGCTGCAACTCCACCTATCACCACAAAGCCAGAACAAGTCGAGGTAAGCTCAACCACCTGTCTAGAATCTTCGAGGTTTATGCTAGATTATACAAAACTAAGGTGGAAAAGCTTCTTCGATGATAAAGTTAATCGGGACAGGCGCAACCCCTAAAAAGGTCAGGCGGCCTGAGCTCTTGAGGGGTTGCGCCTGACCCGATTAACTTGCCTTCAAAATTCAGAAATCGCTCCATTCCTGCTATGAATATTGAGCTCATGGCTTTTTCTTGCTACATTGGAAATTTGAAGCCGAACGCCCCATCCCTAGAAAAATTATGGCCCTTTCAATAGACCTGTTCAGATCAAAATCAGGCGTCAAATTACATGTGATTGTAAAGTGCAGTCACAGAAAGTCGGGTTACAGTTGGAAGATTTGAAACTTTCTAGAAAAGGATGATCCTCCAGATGTTACATTCTGATGTTCGGAGGTCACGAGGAGGAAGAAGCTGTCATTTGAGAACTTTCATGGGAGAGGAAGGGGGTCGTTTTTGAAAGACTTATGCCTGACCTTTTGCTCAACTCTGGGAATGAATTTTATTTGCAAACGTTCCCTTATCTGAGAATTAATGCTGTCAATGCCCTCCCCCTTAATGTGCTTTGCAATGCTTTGAGCAAATAGTTGTGTAAGGAATAAAAACTAAGAATTTTTTTTTCATCTCGTAGCATCTGTACCATTTTTTCCAATAGTTCATTTAATTCTCGAAAACGAATCTCAAACAGATAGGCCATATATTCCTTACACCCAACATTTTATTTCCAACTTACTGTATATTACAAATAAATTTCAAGGCTATAGTGTCGATAAAACTTCTCTTTTGCTTATTGTTTTTTATTTTTCCTAATGAACCGTTGAGGTTGACCGTACCGCCAGAACTATGGAATCTATCCAGAACCAAAGCAGATAACATCAACAATGCTGTGATTAAAATTATTTTTTCTTGATCGTAGATTCACTGTTGGTAACAGAATCAAGTGTGTTGATGCGATTCGGGACCCTCATTAACGACCACTCCGAAAGGACCCGTCTTTAAGACCCCTCTCCCGCTGGACTGCTTTTGAACCTGCATAAACGAATGTCAACCTTAAAAGATGCCTGCCAATGGACTTCAATCAAAATTATAGGTTCAGAGAAAAATAACTACTTATGAATTGGTTAATGCAAGTATGCTTCACCACTCAAAAACCTCACAAATATATGCGTAGATTGGGTAAGTGGAAAATTTTAAGATTTGGCTATGCTTATTCTGGTGGGGAAAATGTGGATGGAATGGAATGGACATCATCTGACAAAGCTGAACATCAGTTTTGATCTGAATGATGTACTTAAGCTCTACTCCACCTAAAGGCTACAAAATGAGATAACCTAACAACCAAGAAAAGTTCAGCATTAAAGAATGGCTCTAAGTCATTATGATTGTTTACTAATAACAAAGTTTGTAGTGAAATAAATTTTTTTGTCATTTACGAATGAATGTTTGGCGTAACTCATTCATGTTTTAACGGTACGAAAAATATCGATTATGGTCCTGGAAATTAGAACATTCTAGGTTATATTGACAGTCTCGTGTTTTATCTCCGTACGAGACCGATTCAGCGTGGGGGGGACAGTATTTTTGGAGCGTAAAAAATGCCTCCAACTGAAAAGCTTTTTCCTACCTTTTGCACAAACTTTCCTGCAAGAAAACTGTTTTGAGTTCATCCAGAACGATGTCAAGAACGTGCATGAGCACGGTACATATTCGCAACTAACGAGTAAGGGTACTTGGTGACCGTGGCCTTTTGCAATGAAATGTGTACCCCTAGATGCGTCTTGGAACGCTGATTTCAAATCTATGTTCAGTATCTGCTGTGCGACTCCCTGAACAAAGTTATGGACTTTTTTCCATATCGATTTTGCGAGGTTTAGGCAGTCAATATCGTCAGTATCCAGCTTTTTGGACTCTGATGTATTGTTGACAGTTCTCCTGAACTTGACGTGAAGCTTTACTTTATTTGTACGCTCTTTTGTGGTGCGTAAGCGAACATTCCACGATTTTGGTGAATCCTGCATCAAAAACAGTGCAAATTTTGGTGACAAGAAATGTTCATAACTTCTACCGAAAGAGCGCACAGCAGATAATGAAAACAGATTTGGAATCAGCGCTTCAAGTTGCGTTCAATGGTGTATGTTCCATTTCAAAAGGCCACGGTCACCAGGTATCCTTTCCTTGCAAGTATAGAGAAAGATTGAGAGGCTGCAATGAACAGGCTATGTAGTGTAGAGCCCACACTATTCATAGCGGAAGTTACAGCCATTGAGGAGTAGTAAGCTCGAACAAATCTAAATGCGACTATCGCAAATTTAGATGCGATCCTAAAAAGCAAAAACTGGGATTTTTAAGCTTGTTTGTACCTCAGCGGAGAAGTTATGGAACAGCCTGACATTTTTATCGAAAGTAGAAGGATGGCCTCGTATTACAGCA